AAGCCAGCTAGAACCTCTTTGTCACACTATCCGACCAGAATTTTGCTGCTGAGGTCATTTCAGGTCAAGTTAGGTCAAGGTCAATTACATGTGTTTGTATGTCTGTGTGTGTCTGTGTGTATACTGATGTGTGCACCGATTGTTTTTGAGTCCATATCACATGAAATCATGATCTGAGAAGCTTTTACCAAAAAAGCAGTCAAAAAACTTCACAAAAAGTAAATTCAGCTTGCCTAAAACGCAATTATCTTAGATGACCTAGGTTGACCTTGACCCTGACCTTGACCCCTGTACATCGTCGAACAACATGTTCCATGATAGGTGGGAGGTAAGACTGGCAAAAAAGGCCGAAATCAGGGTGTCAAAAGCTCACAAGGCCCATGGCAAACGCAAGATGTTGAGAATTGGCCATTTGGGTCATGACATGACCTGAAAAACAAGGTCATATCTCCGAAACCAAAAATCACAGAAACTTGAAATTTTCAGTGGACATCAAGAAAGGATAGACGAGCAGCTATACGAAAAATCAGCCTTCTAGCTCTAAAAATGTTGAGTGCAGAGCAGAAAGACTGCCTGGGGGGGGGGGGGGGTGGCAACCCCCCCCCCCCATGTGCGGGCGAGGGTTAAAAAGCTTAAGTTATCAATTGCAAAGGTTGAGCGCAGAGCAGAGCAAACATCACTCCTCGCCCAATGCAGTGACCTAATAATTGCATCAAATTTCATCAGATGTTGGGAATGTCCCTAGCTCCTAGACAAAGTTTCTCAGAAACCCATTGACCCCACCTATGCAGACTTAAAATATTGTCTTTTTTAGTCACAACGGAACATTTTCCATTGCAGGTAATGCTGGCAAGCATGGTTGGCAAACACGCTCGGAAGCCCGTTGCACGACGAAGTTGGATAAACGAATAGTGTCCGACGCGTGGTTGTCTATTCATCCAGCACAACCCTCACGGAGACAGTGTGTGCAATGCACACTGTGCATGGATGCTGAGCCACAGTGTGGCTAGCGGAAAAAAACGAGCATGTGTGCCGTCGCGAGATGCAACGACTAATACCGATTTTAACCCGCCCTGACCGGGTAAAGCGTTCGGACCCCCCCCCCCCGTGGTTTTCGCAGATAGCTCACAAATGGCTGCGTGGAGCCACCGTCTTCTTTGGCACACCTGCTCAGCATCTTTTCCCACAAATGTTGTTAAAATTTCAGACCCAGGTCGTCGCCAAAGATCAGTTCACCAGGCCACTTCAAGTAACCTCACCGCAGAAAGAATGCTCGTAGTAGCTACACCAACTGAATGATTGTATTGCAATTTTCGGCGATTGATAAAAGTAAAAGAATCTATAAAATATACCTATATCTCAGAACTTTGATATCGATGACCTAATGCCAGGGCAATTTTGCGCAATCTCCATTATAAGTGAATGGGAGAAAATTGCAATGCGCATCTTTTCGAAGAACGTCGTTTTAAACACTCTCTAACATTGATTGAGAGACATGCTAGAGCGGTAAAAAAAAAACTCAGATGTGTTCACTGTTCAGCTTGACGAAAAGAATCGACCGATATGGAGCATGACCTTTTCCGGTCAAGTCATGACCTTGACCTTAAGTAAAATTTTCAAAATTACCCCTCAAGGTCAAATTATAGCTCATTCAATGCGTTTCAACAAGAGGAATATGATGCTGCCAAAAGCAATATCGTGACTCTATTGAGTCAAAAGTGATTACAGAAATACACTATTATTTTCGTAAAACGGTTATTTGTAGAGTTCTTTTTTCTCTCTAGAGGCTAAACTGTTGACCTGAGGTCACATCTGAGGACACATTACGAAAGAGCGTTAAAAATGGCAATCGAACGCGCCTTTCCGCGGTGCTGCGGCTCTTTTTGGTTCCCAAGCTATGCGCCGGTTTTCAAAAACTATTGAAAGAGGCAAAATTTGACCTTTGATGACCTCTGGTGACCTGATCTTTGACATGATCTAAAAATGACAGGATTATTTTCATTATTTTTGACTATCGAAGCGCCGTTTACCGCGTGTCGCTAGATGACCCAAGAGCCGAGCTAGCTGGGGCGCGAAAATGCGGTCCCCCCCCCCCCCAGCACTCCACGGAAAACTCGCACCACCAGCACGGCGCTGGATATGTGTGTTTAGAATCACACCCCTATGACCGTGTTACAGTGTTATGGAGAGTCTCACATCTCAATTGTTTCTGCATAAAAATGTGTTAATTTTTTAACCCTCGCCCTGGCAGGGCATTTTTCATAACACTGCCTGGCAGGAGAGGGGTCGATGCGAACCCCCCCCCCCCCTTGCGATTGCCTCCTATGGCACCTAGAAACACCAAATTTGGTAGATAGGTGGGCCCCCTGGAGTTCTCGCCCCTGTGCAAATTTGGTTGCTCTAGGTCAATATTTAGGGGGGTTTTGGGGGGTATACGTGTAAAATTTTCGCTTTCAAAGGTCAAAAGTTTTTTGCTTCTAACTTTTTATCTAATTAAGATAGAACAAAAACAAAAGCACCAGTGAACTCAGCACGTCAAGGCGCGTCGAATGATGTACTTCTTTTGCTTGCTTACGTGTACTTAAAATATTAAGCACATCAGCTAAGTACAACTTAAGTCTTAAGAATGGTCAAAATGCTTAATGTTGCATATCATTCGACTCGGCTGTTCAAGAGGAGCAGAATGGTACCATTTTGAAAGCTTTATCTTTATTATGTGACAAGGTATCGGCACAAACGTCATTTGACCTCAGTTGACCTCATTTGACCTGACCCTTGGATAAGTACACCAAACAAAGAAGCACCAAGTGACATAATGTTAAGTACTGTGGTGTCAAAGCACAAAAGTGATTGAACGAAGCGGATGTCTTCAGTATTTTCCGAATTGAATATTTTCCCATAGGCTTAACATTACGACGTAATGACCTCTAACTGACCTCAGGTCAGTGACATGAAAAAAACGAAATATATGTTATACAACTCGGTGAATTTAGTACATCCTGAAAGTTTGAAGGAAATCAGTCCAAAACTGTGAGTTGGACAGGTGCATAAACAAATTGAAATTTGACCATGACCTTGTACCGGTTGTTCTGACCTGGTGACCTGACCCAAGATCACCCGGACCTGAAAGTTTCAGGTCATATGTAAAAAGGTTGTCCCATAGGCAGCGCCAAATTTGGCGGCGCTGCGCGCCGCCGTTTTTACGCTATCTTTGAAAAACCTTAGGGGGATGGGGTCGCACCGACCCCCCTGCCAGGGCGAGGGTTAACATCTACGAGTATGATAGCTGCTTCGTTCACCATTGCTGTACTTGCTGGACGCTGCTATACTGGATGATACTGGATGCTGCTGCAGATTTTCTGTAAACCCATGGCAAATCCTTGTGGCTCCTGGCCCTCTTGTGATAAATCTGCTGTTATATGCATGATTTGGTTGACGAGAATACAGAACAAATATTGTTTATAATCCAGTGTTTTTGTTGGATATGCTCGAGATTTTTATTCGTCTGCTGGTTATTTATTACACTATAGCTAAACTCTGTTTCCGAAATGCGCGAAAGAAATAGGAAGAGACTCAGACTGGTTCTTATTTCAGCCTCACAACACACGTCACGTCATAGCATCATAGTAACTTTTTTTTTTGCAATGATAACGTTATAAATGATCCATATTTGTTAAAATTCCAGCTGGAAATGTTCTGATTATGTCAGTTGGGGCTTGTGCAATGTGCGTCCTGCCCAAAATTAGGAGTGACTCAACCCGTATATTTGGGGTGACATCACACCGTTTTGGGAAAACTCCAGAATGTTAACTTTATCTACTCTAATATAAGTACTGTATTTGGGATGAGTACCTTTTTAGGAGTTTTGGAACCACTTAGCTTGTCTCGTTTTCGGTGTGACATTACTCCACAGACAAATTTAATGGAGTTTCAGTTGCAGAACAGGAGTAGTGAAACTCCCTTTTCCGATCATAACTCCGGAATAAGGAGTAGTTAATAAGGAGTTTTATTACTCCTCTTAGGTTCCACTACTCCCTATTATTTTTCACTCCCTAAAAGGGAGTTTCAATTGCGTTTTACAAGGGAGTTTTAAAACACCAAGAGAGTAATGAATCGCCTTTTTATAGTTTTAGGGAGTTATGGATAGAACTCCAAAATAGGGCGAATATCTACTCTAATATAGGTACTGTATTTGGGACGTCAGAACCCCACGTAGGGGAGTAAATATTTTTTTTCCGTGTAGCTTAAAAACTAAGCTCTTGAGAGCGATTGCGTGGTTCAATGTTTTGCGTCGAAATCGGCCGAACATGACGTCACTCTGACGTCATTTCTGGCCAAACTTTGGTAGCTAGAAAGTTGAAAGTTTAGCACAAGATGTCAAATTGATGCCGCTGAGGGTACCGCAAGTCTCATGTTGATCCGTCAAACGGCTTAGAAGATATTGCCGAAAAAAGGAGGGGGGGGGGCTCTGTATGAGCCCCCCGCCCCCCCCCCCCCAGTCATGCGCGGGTTAACTAGGGGCGAAACGGTGAAGGAGGTCGTTTATCCCTTTCGGTATACCGTCGTCCCCGTCTCCCCCGGTATTTAGAAGGCCAATCCAATAGCCAGGTCCGTCGAATTGACCTCGCCTCAGAAAAAAGTTGGAATGTTCGGCATATAGCTACACTGACTGTGCGATCACCTAGAACCTCCAGCGATTGATAAGAACAAAAGTATGGATACAATTAATCTCGTAATTATGATATTGGTCATCGGTGACCTAAAACTAGGAAAGACTGGTTCAGTTGTCACTGGTTCAGTTGATTTTGGTTCAGTTGTCGTGGTTGTTGGGGGATGAAGGGTGAAGACTAAGGAGTGGTTGGGGGTACCTACACACGGTTACAGTGATGCAGAATGCAGTCAGCCTCACGCCGCGACAGTTACAGTTATATCAAGGCAGTGCTCCGCACCGTTCCGGCATGCCTATACATTTGCACAATTCATCCGAACATGCATACAGGTTGTAAATAAAATCATATATTTCTAAAAAATCACAAAATTGCATATGTCAACAGCGCACCGGAGTCATGCGAACATAACCTAGTCGTAGGGTGATTATGAAATCTGCTTTTCTCATCTGACAGTTGACACATGACGGAAAAATACACAGAAAAGGAGTAGAATATCACGCAACACCTAAAATTAGACGTTCATCGATCACCGAGAACATTCACTCGAATGTTGAATGCACAAGATTGCTCCTTAAAAAAGTATAAGAGCGACACAGCCAGATCATTCTACCCATCTACCTTATAGCTTCCCTGTAAACTTCTACCATTCCTCGCGCAATTTGAAAGTACTTTAGAAACAATCACTTGGTGCTCCTTTCACGGAACCGATGAATCGAAGCATAGGCTACAATTGTTGTGTCCTGTATCTAACTACTGTTGTTGAATATCCAAGAAATGTACTTGGAGACCTTTGTGTAGATGCCGGGGTATTCGGGGTTGCCACAACCCAGTCCGGTGGAGACGACTCCGATAACCTGGTAGCGGCGATCGGAGCCACTGCTGCGGTACACCAGCGGTCCTCCCGAGTCGCCGCGGCACGCGTCCCTTGAGGTGCCGTCGGCGCCGTTGGCACACAGCTTGGAGCCCTGGAAGCCGCCCGGGAAGTCGTCCTCGAAGCCGGGCACCGAGCGGTACCTCTGTTCGCACTGCTGCTCGTCCAGAACGACCAGCTCCACCTCCTGCAGCACCTGGGAGCCCTCGCCGTTGTACTCGGTGTAGCCCCAGCCGGCCAGGTCGGCCGTCTTGCCCGTGTGGCTGGCGTCGACGGCCGGCAGGCATACCGGCTGGATCCTACGGCCGAACGTCACCGGACCACTGAGCTGCAGCAGCGCGATGTCGTTCTGCTTACCCACGTAGCCCGGGTGGATCGTGATGCGGGCCACGGAGACGTCCACGTGCCGTCCGTCGTTGGTTCTGGAGAGGTCGTGCTCTCCCAGCCGGACGGTCAGGTCAGAGGGCCGCCGACCGACCACGCAGTGGGCCGCCGTCAGCACGGTGCGAGCCGAGATGAGCGTGCCGCCACACGTCCAGCGGCGCTGTCCGTTGAGTTGCTCTCCGAGTAGCGCGATCCACGGCCAGCGGCCCAGCTCTTGCCGCACGTCTTCTCCACCAACTACCTCAGGGCTGGCAGTCGGTATCTTCCCAGGTGCAAGGGCCACCTTCTGAGCATTACGACGAAGACGAGAAGAAAATGAAGGGAAAATTATACCGCTGGGCTGGGCCACGCCGCAATCTCTCACCAGTTGACGACCTTGCTGATCTCCATTGAAGATAAGCTGACCACAGGCGACGGACAGCAGAGCTGCCGTCAATATGAAACGAGCGGACGCCATCCTCAACACCTACCGAGCCACTCCACAGCCGAGAATCGACTGCCAACGCCGGTCCGCCGGGGATACTGCGCCGTCCCCGGCACGTCATTTCCATATTTCCTACTTCACATGCGAACCACATTAGCACAACATTTGGAAATCCCATTGAGTCTTCGGAGTTCTGGTGATGTCATCGCTCAGGCGGTCAGCCTGCAGCGCGTCGAGTCATGACGACCGAAGGACGCGCTGCCGAGTTTCCTACATCGCCCGAACGGCATTGAGCGGAGTCGGGCTGCACAGTCATCGGTGGAAAACGGGTGCAAGAGTAACGATCTGTCTTGCCGCAGTATGAACTGACACCGCGCGCCGAGAGGCGCAGGGTGGGGCAGGTTCCGCCGACGGGAGGGGCAATTCAGGGTTCCTCGAAGGTGAACAGCTAATACCGTTTGACTCACTGGCAGCTCCGGCGCGAGTGAAAATCCCAAACGGTTCGTGTGTAGTGATTACTTGCCTGTATTTTGTAAATGAAGAAAGTAGGCACGTGCTATACAGGGTGTCCGGAAATTAGTTGCCCCTGCCCCCTTCATCAACTCGCCGCCATAATTTATCAGCAAAGAGCCCCCAGGTCATGGTTTATTTACCGATTTATTCCCTGCCCTGTCCCATTCCGTCATCCGCTTTGGCATTCCATAGATCAAGATGTTCAGAGTATCCGCGCTGATATTCAGCCACACCTTTCACAGGTTCCGTTAAAGTCCGTTTTCTGTGGGAGCTGGTTTAATCAGGCTGAGCTCCTCCTTCCTGATTCCCCACAGGGGTTCGATTGGGATTAGGACAGACTACAGAGCATTCGATTTGACTTACTACTTCATTCTAGTCTTCACCACAACTTCAGCGCGATGACGCTTGGTCAAAGAGTTTCTGAGATGTTAAGTTTTACAAATCGTTAAAGGGACCCTCCCACCTTCAAAAAAGTTAATGAATTGGCACGAAAGTGATGTCGCTCGGTTCAGAAAGAGCGAAAACGAATATCTACCAAATTTCATCGAAAAATATTCACCGGTTTTCAAGATATTAGACTTTTACTTTTGTTTACTTTTGGGATCTCCGCTGTTCCTAGCGACTTTATTTGAAAGTGCGGCATTTGTTGCGCGCAAAGCAGCATATACCACCGCGTGCTACCAAACGTTTTAGTAAAAGATTTAAAAATCATTAGATCTCAGCTGACGTCACAAATTCTAAGGGGGCATACCAATGCACTAGCCCCTTAGAATCCGAAAACTGCAAGTTTGAAATTCCATATCTCCGAATTAAAGCATTTGTCGATGTTGTGAGTGCCCAAACCGGTATTTGCAGGCCATGGCCACCAATTTGGCTATCTCAACTCAAAACTAATGTTAAGGTGGGAGTGTCCCTTTAAGAGCTTGCTGAATGTAAGGCACTTAACCCGGCAGTTGCTGGGGTATTTCGCCACCCACCGTTTGCTGGGGGGGGGGGGGGGGCGTTAAACGCCCCCAGCCGATACCTCGAGAACCAATAGGCGCAGCGAAACGCACGAGGCGGTAAACGAAAGAACCCGACGAGACGCTTCAGATGAGTACTTTAACACGCGCAGTGGAAGGGTTGCGAGTACTACGCCCAGTGGAAGGGGGGGGGGCGGATGTCGCCCCCCCTAAGATCTCAGCTCCCACTGGAGCTAGAAAGACGAAATTTGGAGGGTATGTGGGGGCCATGGGGAACTCTGTTGTGTGTGAATTTCATGACCCTAGGTCAATATCTTCAAGGTCAAATGAGGTCAAATGTGGTCAAATCGGCCATATTTGCGACTTCTTTGCGTTTACACGCCGATAACTCAAAAAGTTACCGGCCGATTTTTTAAAATCTTTCACTATACGAAAGAACAAACATTTGTGAGTATGTATGGTGAATTTCTATATAATCCAACAATAAATATGGCAGTTAGAAGCCTGCTAAGGGTAAGATATCGCCGGCTGAAGCGGCATCGGCCGACGCGGGAAACGCGGCAATCACAATTTTGTGTTTACACACTCATAACTCAAGTTGTTACCCGCCGATTTTCAAAATTCTTTGACCATATGATTGCCTGTACATTTTTCAGTCTTCTCACCGAATTTGACGCGAATCTAATATAATCAGCGGTAAGGAGCGCGATGTAAAGACAGAACCGTCCCGCCCCGGCACAGTCTACAATTCAGGCGGCGCGTAACGGCTAGCGCCGGCCGCCGCGCCGCCGCGCCGCCGCGGCGGCAGGATGTTTGACTTTACACCGCTATTACTAGAAAAGTTGTGAACCGATTTTCTTACTTTTTGCACGAGAAGATCCGCAATTCAATTCTGGACAGGTAGCCAAAATTTCACATTGATATTATGCTTGCGGCGCGAGTTATTGGCGAAAAACAGGAGGGGTGGGCGAAATCCGCCCCCCCCCTTCCACAGCGCGTGTTAAAAATGAATTTTGAGGTCATAGGTCGGGGCAAGGTCAGGTCAAACACCTGAAATCGGGCTTTCAGTAGCATGGACTTCAGGACTTCGCAATGGGCGCCTCTCGTCATTAACTATGTCAAAACGGTGCACAATCCATCATATAAGGCCTACAAGAGTGTCAGCTCCATGTACGGGTCAGTCAAGCATAGGTCAGGGTCAAGGTCATGTCAACCGGGTAGGCACATATCCCCGAAAATCAAAACTGATATTCGTAGCCTGTGACACATGTTTTATGGGTAATTTGGGGCGTAGAACACGATGGTGACATTCATTTTACCATATGTGTACGTGTTTGGCTCAAAAAGTTCAATTTAAGAAATTTTGCCAGACGACGGACGTATAAATAAACTGGACCTGAGTTTTCAAGTGCAATCTTTGTCAGTCGTCAGCGTCGGACGTGTTTTTGATCGTCCGGTTATATTTGCCCTTTTCGCGTAACTGAGCAGTTTTGCGCATAAATAATGATTTGGAGGTGTTTGTAATTTACCGTAGCATACTTTGGTGATATTTTGAATGACTGAGTGAGTAAAGTAATTAAGATATAAGCTTGTAAAAATATAATATTTTCGGTAAAATCCATACAATTCGAGTAGACGAAGCTGACCTACATTGCTCGATTTTTCATTAATGATCGCGCGCTGAAAGTTTATCACTCCCTTCGCTCACTTGGCTTCAACGGAGATACACCGTATTTGGTGTAGGTATTTCTCCGGCATTATTTGATATTATATGTAACTTTTTATGCCTAAAAAGGAATGCTGCAAATGCTCCACTAGGCCATGCACTGGGTGCAGCTGTGTAAAGCATGGACGGCAATGCACCAGCTGCCGCTTTGGTGAGCGGTGTCCAAACAGAAAAGGAAGCAGCGGCACAGAACCGGATGACCTCGCCGACTTCATAGCTGACCTCAAGCGTCATGGCCGAGGCCGAGTGCTTCCTCACATACCAAAAAGTGCACGCATTGCTGTCGCCGACACGCTAGCACAGTGTATCACAACTGTGATAACTGATGGCTCACCTAGGGCTTGGAAGTCATTTCTCAGCTTCGCTTACGCAGTCATCAAAGCACCTAAGACGCGAAGAAACAAAGTACGCCACAAAACGCTTACAGCTGCAATTCGCGAGAACATCGCCAACTTCGCGAATGATGACCTCTTCGAGAAGGACGGCAGCCGTCCAGCAGCATCTCGCCGCAAAACGAGCGACACTTATGCTGATCTCTCCAGACACGTGTCGTCAAAGCTGGCTGACGGCGACGTGCGAGGAGCTCTGCGAATCATTACCTCAGACGACTCATTCGCGAGCCCTACCGTTGAAGTAATTGAAAGCATCGCCGACAAACATCCTGAACCGCCTCCTGATCTCCGCAATCTCGAGCCACCTGATGCCAGCACAGCCTCACTGGTTGCGACTGAAGCCGATGTCTTAAAGGCAATCAGCTCTTTCCCTCGAAGCTCGAGCGCTGGCCTGGACGGCATCCGACCAGCTCACCTGCAATGCCTTGTGGCTAAGCCCACCGCCGAGGCTGGAGCGCGACTTCTCACAGCGCTTACAGCTCTGACGAATCTCGCACTCAGCGGCCGGATCCCGGAATTCGCTCTGCGAGCCTTCTTCGGTGCCTCCTTGGTAGCGCTGCGGAAGAAAACGGGAGGCCTGCGGCCGATTGCCATCGGTAGCGTCTTCAGGCGAATTGCTGCTAAAGTGGCAGCCAACAGTGTGTCCAGACGCATCGGGACCGAGCTGAGACCCATCCAACTTGGGGTTGCAACGCGCAATGGGTGCGAAGCTGCTGTTCACGCTGTTCGAGCCTTTGTGAAGCACGCCGTAAGCTCAGCCCAGCCCACGGCCATCATCAAACTTGACGTCAGCAACGCCTTCAACTCCGTAAGGCGGGACACCATGCTCGAAACCGCCCGCGCCAGAGTACCTTCCATCTACCCGCTCATCTGGCAAGCATATGCAACTGCGTCACCGCTATACATCGGAGATTCGAAGGTCTGGTCCCGCACAGGAATCCAGCAAGGAGACCCTCTGAGCTCTCTTCTCTTCTCCGTGGCCATTGACGACATATTACAGGGTATCGACACTGACCTGAACGTATGGTACCTGGATGATGGCACAGTGGGAGGACCACTCGATCAGGTTACCAGCAACATTGGACGCATCAAGGAACAACTTGCCGATAAAGGACTGCAGGTCAATGGCAGTAAGTGCGAGCTGGTTCTGCTGGGAGCCGACAGAGAGGTTTGGCAGCCAGATGCGCTGCTCAGACTAACAGAGCTATTGCCTGACATCCGTCTGACGCGTCCCGAGGAACTACAGCTCCTTGGCGCACCAATCTGCGACGATCAAGTGAAGGCACAGCTCTTGACCGGGAAGCAGCTCGTCAACAAACTCGTGAGCCGAGTGCAGTGTCTCGAAGAAGCGCATCAAGCATTCTATCTCCTGAAAAATTATGTGTGCGCACCACGTCTCCTGTACCTTCTCCGCAGCGCTCCTGCATTTCGTAGTGCAACAATCCTCTCAGAAATTGACGAGCTTGTTCGGCAAGGCATCACGGCTGTCACAAACGTGGCACTGCAAGGTGAATCATGGCGACAGGCTACTCTACCTGTGAGTCTGGGTGGACTTGGAATCCGGAGGGTCTCTGACTTAGCTCTTCCAGCATATATTGCATCGCTAAGATCCTCCGCTCCCCTGATCATGGACATCATCCCCAGCATGGCAGAGAGCATCGATCGGCTCGAGACATCGTTGCACCAACCGTGGAAAGTGGAGACTGGGCTTGAGCTCCCGGACGCCTCCGAACAGGGACGGCAGCGCGTTTGGGATCTAACCGCGGCAGCCGCTGAAGCTGCGAAGCTGCTCGAGGCTAGTCCCGATGACAGACACCGTGCCCGACTTCACGCAGCAGCGCAGCCGCACTCCGGTGCATGGCTGAACGCACTGCCTGTGCCCAGTCTCGGAACACTTCTCGACCATGAAACTCTCAGAGTAGCTGTTGCTCTTCGAGTCGGCGCTCCGGTATGTGCTCCTCACCGCTGCCGGTGCGGATCCACCGTCGACACCCTGGGGCTGCACTCGCTGTCTTGCCAACTGAGTGCGGGCCGTCTGCCGCGACACTCCGCGCTGAATGATGTCATAAAACGCGCCCTGCACAGCGCAGGCATGCCATCAGTGCTGGAACCAACAGGCCTTGATCGCGGCGACGGCCGGCGCCCGGATGGGATGACCACCTTCCCCTTCACCGAAGGCAAGTGCCTTATATGGGATAGCACCTGCGTCGATACATACGCCAGCTACATCATCGGTAAATCGGCGGCCCACGCAGGAGCTGCAGCAGAAGCCGCCGAAAGCCGGAAGAGACGCCGCTATGGAGCGCTGGAAAGGCGTTTCAAGTTCCAGCCCATCGCCGTCGAAACGAGTGGCTCACTGGGACAGTCCACCGTCCAGTTCTTGAAGGACGTAGGTCGGCGAATAGCACGTGAAAGCGGCGACAGGAGGGCTACAGAGTACCTCTTTCAGCGAGTGTCGCTGGCCGTGCTCCGTGGTAACGCCACGTCACTCCTCATGGGAGCAGCCCACACAACTGGTAGCAGCATCGAACCCAACGACAAGGACGACACCGACTGGCAAGCTGGGGGCAGTGAAAACTCGTGTGAATCGAGAAACAGGAACGACCACGAATGCTTACTCGATACGCATGACGACAAAGGCTCCGATATTGCTGTGAACGACCTCGCCACGATCCTAACAGATACCGAAGCCCCTTCTCTGATGATAGAGACGGAGCAGCTTCCTAGGTCGACAGACCTTCTGAAAAAGTATCGCGAGCTCTATCAGGAAATGCGGGCACAGTTTATTGCCCAGGGCCTGGACCGTGACCCTATGTCTGACCCTGAACTAGCGAGATACCTGTCTCGTGGGGGCAAAGGGAGCAAATAGGGGAATGGAGATGGGAGCGTTTTTTTTTTTTACTGCACTGTGTACAATGCGTGACCTGTCAAGTATGTATTTAAGAAATTCATGTATCATGGTTGTGAAGTAGTCACAAGAAATAGCCAAGATTCAGTTCAAGATTTTGGAAAATGCGGAACGATAATCAATAATCGAAGATAGCCATTTGATTGTTCATGGTATTGGCAGTGTAATGGCGTTTACAGCATGTCTGTATGTCTATTCTGTGATTTTATATGATTTTTCGAACATATGCCGTTTTTGGTCGAAAACTAAGAAATCATGACGTCACTAAAACCTCGATATCTCAAAAATTTTCGGACCGATTTTTTTGAAAGTTTGTCACAATAACTCTCGATCAATTCCCTACAGGTACCGAAAATTTGGCGCGCCTGCGGCGCGCCGTTTTTATGCTATGGCCCGGCGAAAAAAGTGGGGGCGTTTAACGCCCCCCCCCAGCAACTCGCGGGTTAAATCTTTTGATTGTTTTTAACGACCTTACAAAAATAAGCTTTTTACATCTATGTATTTTTTGTTTTGTTTATGAAGTTATTTTGAAGATGGATACATTCTTGTATAATTCTTAGATTATTAGAATTTGCCGATGAATTTTTCCTTCAAATTTGGCATTAATGCGATCATAGCCTGTCATGGCCGATAATTCATCTCAGTGAAACAAAAAATACATGAATGTAAAAAGGTTACATACGTAAGGTCATTCAAAACAATTGCTTTTATTCTCGAAAACCCGCAAAGGTTCGGCGATTTCGGGCGCTGCGGGGGAGGCATGTGCCCCAAACGCCCCCCCCCCCGCATCCGCCAGTGAGGAATAGTGTCTTCCATTTCGACGGGCCGAATTGAGAGAAAGCTTGATGCTTTTCAAGAGTCTATTTTGTGAAATCATTTCCTCCTTTATATCACATTAACTGGCATTGCAGGTATTCTCATCATTCAGCCAGTATTAGCATTGATGCGTTCTTAGTATCAAAATTGTTTGATAAAGCTCGGGCCGGCGGATCTTCTACAGCATACCTAACGAATATTCCAACAGGACAATTGATCAGAATATCACTGACAAGTGGTTAACCAATCTACGCATGCGGTCAAACACAATATAATATTACGTAACGGCCACACTCGCTGTTTTCACAAAGGCAGCTTGTGGGCGTTGCACATTGCGCAATTCACCGGGCACCGACCAGCGTCACAGCATGACCTTATCATTACACAATGCACGCCATATCCTGCCCAGCTAACCACTATTAGAGGGAGGTCAGGACAGATTGGAAAGCACAGTTGCTGTCCCAAACAACGCCGAGTCACTCGACAAACTCGGCAAAGCAGAGGCTAGTGTTGGTCCCACCGAATCCGAATGAGTTTTTGAGCGCCACCCGGCGGCCGGCGGTTCGCCAGTGAGCCGCGCGTGGCGGCACCACCAGCCGCACTCCGTCCACCGGCTCCGGGTGGGCGAGGTTGGCTGTTGGCGGCACCAGGCCGTGGCGGCACGAGAGCGCCGTGGCAGCGGCCTCCACGGCGCCGGCCGCCGCCAGCAGGTGGCCCAGCGAGCCTTTGCACGAGGTGACCAGCGGCTGCGAGCCGGCCAGCAGCGCGGCCACGGCGCCCAGCTCGGCGCGGTCGCCCAGCGGCGTGCCGGTGGCGTGCGCGTTCACGTGCGTCACGTCCCCCGGCGAGACGCCAGCGTCACGCATGGCGGCGGCCATGGCGCGGCGCGCTCCGTCGCCGTCCTCGCAGGGCGCCGTCACGTGTCGCGCGTCGCCGGAGAGGCCACAGCCGAGCAGCTCGGCGATGGGCCGGCCGCCGCGGCGGCGCGCGTGCTCCAGCGTCTCCAGCAGCAGCACACCGGCGCCCTCCGCCATCACAAAGCCGTCGCGCGCCGCGTCAAACGGCCGCGACGCCTCTGCCGGCGCAGCGTTGGAGCGCACGCTCAGCGCGCGCATCTGCGAGAAGCCGGCCACGGCGAGCGGCGAGACGCCGGCGTCAGCGGCGCCGCAGAAGGCCGCGTCGGCGGCGCCGGCACGCAGTAGGCGCAGCGCGTCACCGATGGCGTGCGCGCCGGTGGCGCAGGCGGTGGAGGCGGCGTGGTTGGGGCCGCGGCACCGCAGACGGATGGCCACCAGCCCGGCCGGCATGTTGTGCAGAATTCGGGCCGCGAAATGGGGCGACACGCCGCGCGCACCGCGCTCCTGCAGCCGGCGCGCCGAGGCGGCGATGTCCTCCAGGTCCGGGGAGGCCATACCGATGCACACAGCCGTCCGCTCCTGGTCGGGTAGGATAGACGCAGTGACTGGATTAGCAGAGGCAACTATAAAACACATTTGAGGCTCGAGCAAAGTTATGCCGCCGGTAACATACAACGTTAAATCTTTACATTGAAATATAAAAAGGAGAATAAACTGAATAATGTCTACATTTTTAATCTCCCTCTTTCCAATGGCAAACTGCCAGAAACTAGAGATACATCGTATACACGATTCTACAAAAAGCAATAAATAGGGTTTAGCGTTGTACTTAGAAACACACCAAGTAATTTGATAACCTATTCCCGTTCAACCCACGGTCCACGCCGATATAGCGGACGCACCTGTTCGGTTTCGGTGCGCGGCCGCCAGCCGGCGCTGCGAGCGGCCTCCTCCGCTGCCACCACCGCCAGACAGGTGGCGCGACTGAGCGAGCGGCGCTCCGAGGCGGCGAAATGGTCGGCGAGGTTCAGCTGGCCGGCCGCCGAGCCCTCGGGCACCAGGCCGGCCACCCGACTGGGCAGACCCGCGAACTCGGGGCCGGCAAGCCGCACAATGCCGACATCACCGCGACACAGCCTAACAACCACCCAGCGGTCAGGACGCAACTATTGAATACACAACCATCAAAATGGCATCAGAATACCAACGTAAAACAGGCAAACAAGCTGCCTTTTGTGGTTCTCACCTGTCCCAGACATGTTGCGAGCCGCAGCCGAGTGGTGTGACAAGCCCCAGACCGGTGACAACGACTCGGCGTGCTGTGGACCAGCACACCCCGCTGACTCGTACCATCTGGATCTGAAGCAAACAATACAGAATGCCATTCAAACAAAATCCAAAAGGAGTTTGCCTCCGAGAGGGCAACAAAACTATTTATCAGTCAATGACTGCAAGTTAAACACTTTCAAGTTCCAATGTTTCTTCTATCTCGTTTCAAAAGTTTCGGATGTATGTTGAAATTTGTTACACATACCTAGTTGCATACTGCATAGGCTCTGACCCCTACTGTCTGATCATGTCAAGGTAATTCTGGGTATCAGGAGAGTTTAAAAGCTGAATGAAGGTACAATGCCTGTTGATGTGCAAAGAAGGAGACGGCCGGTACCTACTTAATCCGCCGCGCCGGCGCACGTACGAGGGGGTACCCAAAAGTAACGGGAATCGTTCTCTGTAGGCCAAGCCAGTTGTAGCTCGGCATTGCCCTGCTAGGGGCAAACCAGTCTGGCCCCTGGAACTTAGTCTGCAACGTGAGGTGACGAAATAAAGAGGCGCGGCCGCGTGGCGCACGTATTTATTGAAGCACTCCCGCCCGATCCGTCGTTTTTTTATGCATAGCGGAACTGAGCAACAACGCGCATCTGTGAAATTTTGTTTCCTGCTGGGGAAGTCCGCGACTGAAACGGTTCCAATGCTTCAAGCAGGGGTAGCCAGTAACAGTTGGTAGCATTAGGCCAAATGGGCGCTCAAAAACTACTACCCCATAGGGTTTCCATGTTAAATCGACCTTTTTCAAGCGAGCCTCACGCGTAAGCTAAAAGATAAAGTGTCAATATTATTATGGGGAAAGATAGCCTCAAGCTTCCTCTACAACCTTTTTATCTAGCGTTTTTCGATGCGGAGGCCATAACAGGTCCAAAAAGCATTGGGCGCTGCCCGAGGTACCAAAAGCCCCTCCATGAGAGCATAAGTTCCTGCGCATGCGCATATTGCCTCAACCCTGTACAGGCGTAAATCGCTGATACTGCTCACGGACTCGATCAGCCAATCAGCATCACCGATTATATTCATAGATATCGCTAGCATCACGTAAATCCTGCTTGCGAACACATTTAAAGAATGAAACAGCTGCGCCATTTCCGCCTTCCATTGATTCCTTCCATTTTAGTATCAACTATACGCTTTTCAACTAACTTTAGACTAAGTTTTAAACTACGGTTAGTATGTTATTTCTGGTACACATAATTAAAAAATAACTGCTTTATGAATTTGGCTTCACTCTTCAGAATGGAATACTCTATTTTTTCCATATTCAAAAAATATATCACCTACCATGTAACTCATCCAGGTAAAATGGGCGCTTTCCGCGTCGTTGGTGTACCCGTTGTTCTATATACCCTGGCTTCAAGTAGCATACAAATATGCTGCCGTGAGCAAGACGCGGGTTTATGAATGATTTTCGCACTTCAAAAGTGGTCAAATGTTATCCCAAAAGCGCCCCAAAAAAGCTTGCCAAGTGAAGTCAAATGTCAAGACAATGCTGATTTGTTTTTTCGATGCAAAGGGAAGTGTGCAAAAGGAAATTGTTCCTCCCTGGTCAAACTGCCAATCAGACGTTTTACTTGGACGTTCTGCGGCGTGTGTGAAACACGGTGAGACGAAAACTCCCCGACAGGTGGCGAAGCGGGGAGTGGTGATTTCATCGCGACAGTGTGCCAGCGCACACCGCCTTGAGTGTCAGACAATTTTGGACAAAAAATGCATGACCCCACGGATCCACCCTCCCTATTCACCGGATTTGGCACCCTGTGACCTTTTCTTGGTCCCCAGAATGAAAAAGACCTCAAGGGAAACCATTTCGACGACTTTGATAAGGTAAAAGCAAAAACGACGATGGCTCTGCAAGGCATCACCTTGCAAGAGTTCCAGAGCTGCTTTGAGAGCTGGAAAACGCGTCTGCATAGGTGCATTGTCTCGCAGGGAGAGTACTTTAAGAATGATATGAGTGACGATGTGTAGGGATCAGTGAATAAACATATATATATATGAAACAATATCCGTTTCTTTTGGGTACCCCCTCGTATGTCATCTGGCTCCTGTCCTGTCCTAGTTCTCATGGCCACGTGTTGAGAAAGTACCTATGAAGGCTGAGACCAGTCTTGTACGGGACTCCACCAGTGCGACACGAACCAGTGTGCGACTTAGCCAGTATGGCCTAACGAGTACAACCAGTCTTGGACGGGACTCTGTCGGTGTGTGACGTCCCTTAACCCGCGCCCCGCTGGGGGGGGGGGGGGGCAGAATCTGCCCCCCCTCCCGTTTTTCGCCAATAACATCTAAACGCGTTACGCCAGCGACGTCAAACTTACAGTACCTTATCATACATCAATTTGACACGTTCCCTGAAAATTTGAGCGAAATCCGTCGGTAAATTTTTGAGAAATTGACGTTTTAGTGACGTCATGTTCGCCATTTTCGCCTCAAAAACGGCAAAATTTCAAACGCCGCTAACATCTTCATTTTTTAAGGAATCAAGACGTAACAAAAAAGGTTATACGTGATTCTACTTTCTCTATCAAATGGCTATCTCGGTTTTTTGAAAATTTTGGATTTTGGCCCAATTTTTCTAAAAAAACTGACTTTTTTGGGAAAATAATTATAAAATCCAAAATTTTGAGTGTATCGAAAAAACCGGAATATATGTCAGAGAAGTGGTCTATGTGCACCTACATACCAATTTTTAGAAGAATCGGTTCAAAAATGTGGGAGTTATTCAAAATTTTATGACGTCACGACACACAAAAATTTTGAAAAATGATTTTTTTGGAAGTTCTAGACCTCGTACGGAAACAAAAATAGCACCATTCGATTTGCCGTGAAAAACTGAATCAGAGACACCTTTTTAGGCCTTAACAACCAACTTCAAAATTTGACCTCACTTGACCTGACCTTGACCTGACCTCGACCTGAAATTCATCCAGAGGTGGTCCATATCACTTATTGAGTGTGCCTATTGAATTCTATGAGTAAAATGACCCATAAAACATGTGTCGCACATGCCCTTTTCTATATTTTGTTTTTGGTGACCTGACCTGACCTGACCTGACCTTGACCTTGACCTTTGAATGACATTGTATGCAACGAATATTGTCTTGGTAGTCTAAGGACACGTTTTGGGCAATCAGTCTCCGTCCATTCTTCGGCAACTACGGTGCAAGGCCGATACTGTAGAAACTTGCATTTTGTACCCTTGACCTGACCTTGACCTGACCTCTGACCTACTTAAGCAAAAAAATTTGGGCTCTTAAGATCCGCCTTGTTGAGAGCTTTCGATTGCCGTTTTCCCCGTCTTTCTACGACCATCGGTTCGGAAGTTAGACAGGGGGGGCAGAATCTGCCCCCCCCCCCCCCAGCAGGGCGCGTATGGCTGAATAGCCCAGCGGGGCGCGGGCTAAAGCCTCTCCCCTCTTTGCAGGGTTAACAGATGGATGTTGTATGGCCAAGTGTATTGTCGAGAAGAAGCAAGTGAGTAGCATGCACCTGCAAACGAATCATCCGTCAGGACAAAGTCATGCGCGCGGGCATGCGGGATCAGACGGCAGCGAAATGCGGACTAGCAGTATGCAGAGCGCGCGGGAAGACGAGCGTACACAAGCACGGACATAGAGCGCACGGATAGACGGGCACACACACATGCACATATCCATATGCAATGAGTATGCTGACATGCAGGCATGAAGAACACGGAAGAACCATGACAGGTGTACAACAGGGCCCGACGACGTGCGATGGACATGTTCTGATCATTTGGCCACTTCCAAAGCAATCTAGCATTGACATTTACACATAAATGAACAACATTTTTATGTGGTCCTCCGGGTGACAAACCCATTCATCGATCGAGTACACATACAAGCGCACCGAGTGAACAAACATGAAAAACATGAACTATACCCATCAAAGCCAGACACAGCCTGTCCCACTCAACAAACTTCAATTGACTGCGACCTCTGTCACCAACTGATGACAATCCAAATAGGGAGCCTCAAATCATGATTTGGATACAGAATGCCCAAGCAAATTAAATCCTGGCTCTTCAGCCTTTGAAATCTGCCTGCCCAGTAAATATGCCAACGTCGGCCCGGCGTCGGCAAACATCGGGGTAGCGTCGGCATCTCGGCATCGGCATGCCGACGTCGGATTGGATGTCGGCTGAACGTCCGTAGTGCCTCGGCTGGGCGTCGGTCCAACCAAGGTCCAACGTCGGTTGTACCTCAGGTTGATAGCGTGGAGACGTGGGCTGTACGTAACCCGGCTGAACGTCGGCTGAGCGTCGGGTTGACAGGGGGGAGATGTCGCGCCGACGTCGGCCCGAAGTCATCTCGGCTCAAATTCTCGGCAAACGATCTCGGCCCGACGTCGACTAGACCTCGGCTGGACGGCTTCTTGGCCTCTCATTGGTCAAATGAACAGACCACGTGAATTTGGCCAATGAGGAGCCAAGAAATAGCAGCATGCTGGCTAGCAACCTGCTGATAAAAAACTGCGACCGAACAGGGCCCAGGCATAAGACATGACTTTGAGCCACGCAGTGTTAACTAATAACTTGGATTTTGGAGTCAGTGTCAGACAGTAAGATTTAAGTGACTCTTATTCTGACTCCTGGCAAAACTGCTAACTCTGACCGACTCTGACTCCAGCTCAGACTCCGCAGCCCTGTGTGTAGGAGTTCCAACTTCCAGCATGCACATGTGGGGACAAGTTTCACATTTCTGCCAAGTTATTGATCATTTTTGCATTTTTATATCCATACTCATCATGGCAAAAAGCACCATCTCACATATTAAAAGTTAAAAGCCAATAAGCTCAGATATGAATCAATTAATCTAAGAACAATATCAAGTAAGCCGGTCCCGTAGCTCAGTTGGTAGAGCGTTGGACTCCGCGTGGTGAGAGCACGCGTTCCCGGTTACAACAGTCCGGGTTCGAAGCGCGACGGGCGCTTGACATTTATGGGCCTCCTGACAGGTATGGTTGCGGTTGGTGGCAGGCCGTAGCCAGGCGAAGTCAGTGAGGGGACCGGCCGTGCGCGGCTATGTGCGCACGTTAAACTTTGGACTCTAAATTCTGCCATAGAACTGGAATTGCGCGATCGGAGGGCAGAGGGCAGGGTCACCGCAACAAGCTTCGCTTAGCGGTGGCTCTGTCCTTGTGAATCCTTCCCAGCAAAAGGTTCGGACTAAATTTATTTAAAAAAAAAAGTTTCACTGAAACTTTATCAAGTTTCACTGAAACTTAAATTTAAATCCATTCAAACTGAAACGTGAACTGAAGGTAAAGGTCCAGGTGAAGGCATGAAATGTAAACGCACGTTTAATGAGCATTAGGTATTGAGTTCAGTGATTGAACCTCACCTTCTTATCCAAAAGGCCAAAGCCGTGATCAATATTCTTGCGGTGTTAACATGATAGATTGAATAATTTTGGACACTGCCGAGCGATAAACATAGAAGAAAACAATATAACCTGTGTCAAAAACACGGCACACACCCACACCACAACTTACTTACTTGTGGTTACTTGTGGTGTAGGACGTATAGCCTCGTTGGGCCCAGAACGTCCAGTTGAATTGTCGTTCCTCGTAAAGTCGTTCCTTCACGTCTTGTGACTTGATGTAGAGCAGTGGGGGCTAGTATAGGGAACAGGATTGCTAGGACTGGAAGGACAGGTGAGGTTGATCTTGGGGTAGCTGAGAGGGTGTTAGTGTTAGTTTTCTAGCTGCAAACAAAAAGAACTGGGTTAAGAAAAATAAGATAATGGCGAATGGGGACATGACACAAACATCATAGTAGCAGGGCCATGTTGGCCACCATAGTATCCAAATTGTATGTGTAACAGTCACATGATCGGTCCACATTCTGTAGGCACCCTGAGCTACGCAGAGCTCGTAACCCCGGCCAACTCTGACATCAAGTAGTTGACAGTATAGTGTGTAGGTCGGTACAGTCGACCATAGTTCATGTCTTGCGCCTAAGTGTGGTGTGGCTGAACTAAACAGGTAAAGGAAAAAGAAGGGAGACACTACGTTGCATGCAGCTCAGCTACTGTCGCTTTCATTCATTCCCTAACTCACACATACACACACATCCCTCTTTCTCAGTCTCATACTCTCATCCCTTCATACAGTGGACCGGACAGAAACATTGTAACACACACGAGCAGACAAGGACAGGACACAATACATGTTATGGTCATTTACATGCCAATCGACGGACATCGCGTAAACTGCATTGGGCGGTAACAAACTTATGGAACATAATACAACCAAAGGAAATAACAGGCGAATACGCTGAAGGTCGGGAACATGGTCCCCAAAAATCGCATAAACATAATAGGTAATACATGGAAACACAGCATTACAAACGGCGCATCAGGTCACAGTCGTGTAGAAAGGTAAACAATTCATCGATAATGTCGCTCTGGTCATTACCGAGGAGCGACTTAAGATCGAATGTCATCCTATGTCGGTTGCAAATGTCTATCAGTGACAATCGCTCCACTGCAAACTCCGGGCATTCAACTAGGATGTGTTCGACAGTCATAGGGCAGTCACACAGTTCACATTCTGGCCTTTCGTTATGCTCTAACAGGTACGAGTGGGTCAGTCGCGTATGTCCAAGTCGGAGGCGGCAGAGTATCACCTCCTCACGTCTGTTGGAGCGAAGACTGGTTTCCCATCTGCCAGATACTTCCTTAATCGATTTCAGTGTAGTGGTGTGACGGTAAATCGCCCAGATATCATCGAAGCGACTACGTAATAGACGTCGTAGAGTAGGGAGAAAGTCCTTATAATGCATCTCAACTTCATCTGTGTAAGGAGACGATATGGCCCGCTTGGCCTCAGCGTCAGCTATCTCGTTCCCTGCGATGTTGCTGTGACCAGGGATCCAAAGTACACAGACATGGTGTCCAGATGTTGTTAATCGGTCGATGTAGTAGATTATATTGATCACTGTAGGAACATCAGACGACGCATAGGTGATGGCCATCACCACAGATAAGGAATCGGTACATATAACAGAACGTCGGATGTCATTTGTTCTAATGTAAGCGAGAGCCTGCAGTATTGCAAAGGCCTCTGCAGTGAAAATGGAACACTGTTCTGGAAGTCTATACCGTCGACGTACATGATTGTGAATATATGCGCAGCCAACTCCGTCTGACGTCTTGGAACCGTCCGTATAAATAAATGAAGCACCCGCATACGCAGTTCTAAAGTCATGAAAGGCACTTTGCACGTGAATTATGTCAGCTTTCTTTCCTGTTCCATGTATAAGTTGATGGACTTCACAGAATGACCGTCGCCACGGTTCAACTCGTGAGCGTTTTGCAACTATACCTGCAGGGATTACAAATCCAAGCTCATCACTCATGTTTTGTATACGTTCGTATAAAGGAAATCCAGACATCCGCTTCATATACTGTCTGTCAACGTTATGTAGCCGAACTGTGCCAGTCAGTAGGGGGTGACACGGATGGTCATGGATTCCTCTCACTTTCATACAGTAACGAAGGGTCAAATCCATACGTCTCAGACGAAGTGGATATACATCCGCTTCTATCAACATAGGAGTCACAGGGGATGTCCTGAAGGCGCCTGTGGCTATTCGTAAACACGCATTTTGCACGCTCTCAAGTGTTTCGACCATGGAATTGCCTGGACCGTCAAGTATATGACAAGCATACTCGAGAATAGGTCGCACCATGGCCTTATACAGACGAATGAGAGTGGAACGGTCTGCGCCACAGCTACGACCGGAGAGACATTTAAGAATAGACATACGTCGGAGTGCCTTGGCTTTCACATATTGTACGTGTTTATGTAAATTCAATCGCGAATCCAAAAGAACCCCCAGGAACTTCACTTCCTCCTGGTAAGGAATAGTCTGATCATAGAGTCGTATGGCAGGAATGTCACGTAGTTCTTGTGCCCTCATATAACGACGGAATATTATTGCACTGCATTTGGGTGGGGAAAAAATGAAACCCCAGCGGTCAGCCCACCTGCTGATGCGATCCAGTGAATCCTGTATGGAGGTGATTAGTGGCTGTATCTGTCGGCCTTGGACCCACAAGGAACAATCGTCAGCATATATGGCGTATTTCACTTCATCGGGGACGTCGGCAAAGATATCGTTAATCATGAGGTTGAACAAAATTGGGGAAAGAACGCCACCTTGGACAAGACCATTCTCTTGTTCAAAAACATCTGATAAGCCACCACAGCTAACTTGGAATGTTCGGCCACGAAGGTATTCCCGGATAAAATTCATCATCCGTCCCTTAAAACCTAGTCCATTCAGTTTAGTTAGGAGAGCTACGGTGGATGTCAGATTGTACGCGTTCTTTAAATCGAGAAAAACAGCCAAAGTGTATTTATTGGACAGGAATCCTCTTCTAACGTCAGAGTCCAGCCGTATCAGGTGGTCGGTTGTGCACCGTCCCTTCCTAAATGCAGACTGGTACCGCGATAGAAGGTCACGATCCTCGATGCACCACGTCAACCTGTTTGCAATCATCCTCTCCATAAGTTTGCTAAGACACGATGTTAGCTGAATTGGACGATACGATTCCACCTTGTCCCTCGGTTTCCCAGGTTTCGGTATAGGTACCAGAATGGAGTGGCGCCATGCCATCGGGTAGGTGCCATTGCACCATAAATGGTTCATAAGTTTCAGTATCTCCGCAACCTGGTGTTCAGACATGTGTTTAAAAAAAGCGTAATGCAGAAAGTCCGGGCCCACAGACGTGTTACCACTGCTAGTGATTGCCGTGCGTAACTCATTGAGAGAAAATTCGGCATTGTACGCTTCATCATTGTTTGAGAAGAAATCAGGCAGTTGGTTAGTCATCTCGGAAACGTGGTCTCTAAATACTGGTCGGTAATTATCAGACGAGCAAATGCCCGAGAAGAACCTTCCCATCGTATTACCAACTTCGAGTGGATCGTCGACAACGTGGCCATTCACTGTCAGAACAGGCAATGGCCTCTGAAACCGTTCTTTCATGGTGAAACGTCGAATAACCTCCCATAGATAATTGACGGGAGTTGTATGGTTAAATTGCTCCAGTAGCTTTTGCCAAGAGTCCTTCTTAGCTGGATAAGCATTTCAAACATTCGAGTTTATTGTTCATTGAATGAGGCAACTCTCTGCAATAAACGAACAGACCATTATGTTGAGTGCACAGTAGGTACATACGGTCATGCTCAGGTATGCCCCCACGGAAACGAGTGGATGCGAAACGCAGGCACGAGATCTTGTTGCGGAAGCTAAAAATGAAAATGAACGTGGTAACTTCCCCAGTAAGCAACATGATGGTCAAAAGAGACATGGCATAATCCGCATTACAGGAAGGTCTGGAACGCATGTGAAAGAAACACTGGATGACTCGTAAAGCACACGCAGTTACGACGAACACACGAGTGCGCACATGACTCGTAAAACACACGCAGTGACGACGAACACACGAGTGCGCACACCGGGCGCTTGTCGGGTACATGTTGTGCATCACTGGGCGCTAGTAGTCGGTAAGCAGCACATAGGTGGCGCAGAGATACTACAGATCGAGGACATCACGTGCGAACCGTCGGCGACCCCGAGAGGACGGTGGCAGCTCCCGGTCTGAGCGAGGGGTGGTTAGGGAACGCGAGCACGGGTGACAGGGAGTCGGGAGACACACCGGTATAGCAGTAGGCTGTCGGTCAGGGGAGTGCGTCTCTGATTCAAGGGCCACAGCTGGAGGGGTCGCCGAGGGCGATGAGGCGGCGTTTGCAGGATCTGGCTCTGGACTGGGGCCCTGCGCGGGGGGCGGAAGTGACTCAGCCCCGTCGGTCTGGGACGGTGGTGTGCCAGTCAGCGAAGACTGAGCAGTGCCAGGTCGCAGCTGTGGGTGGTGCAGACCGTGATCGGCGGGGTGGGGCCTGGGCGCGGGAAGAGGGACAGTAGGTGTCGTGTGCGCGAGGGGTACAAACGAGCGCAAGAACTTCCGATTGCGTAGGGTCATCCGTCGTGATCCGTCGAGCATGATCTGGTATTGCCGAAACGGCAATGCGGCCACCACCACTCCACGGCGGTCCCAGTTTCGAGGGTGGTTGCCCGACTGATTTTGAACCAGCACATGCTGGCCAGCTTTTAGTGGAGGCAGGTCCTTAGTGTGTGCTTGCAGACGCTCATGGTCACGAGAGGTGCGCTTGGCTAGTGCTTTCTCCCTCCAGCATGCGACATCTTGCCACGTCTGGCTGAGATCCTTGTGGTTACGTAGGGGGGGGGGGGCTGCAGCGGTAGCCCTGGGAGGAAGTCCCGCAACTGTCTCCCGAGGACTAGCTCAGCTGGGGACAAGCCGGTGTCTCTGTCAGGGGTGTTGCGGTGCTGCAAGAGTGCGCGAGTGAGTTTCACAGAGTCGAGGGACCCATCAGCAGTGACGTTGTCCCGTATGAGGCGTTTGGCCGTTTTCACAGCGACCTCAGCACGGCAGTTCGCGTGAGGAAAAGCGACCGATGTGAGGCGGTGGTGGATCCCGTGCTGAACGAGGAAATCCTTTACCTCTTGGGCCATGAACTGAGGCCCACCATCACTTGTGAGTGTTTCGGGGACCCCCAGACCGCGGCAGAGTTCCATGAGGACGTCTTTTAGGCTGATGCCGCGCCAGATCTGAAACCAATTGCTGAATCGGTCAACAACGACCCCGTATGTGTTCCCCATGTACGTGAAGTAATCGGCAGCCACGTGTTGGAATGGATATTCCGGCGTGGCTGGTGGGATAGGCGGCATGTCGGCCTGTGATGGCGCATGTCTGTTGCAAGCCGCACAGCGTTGCCGGACCGCTTCAATGTCCTGGGACATGTGGGGCCAAAACACGAAGCGTTCCGCGCGTAGCCTCATGCCAGTCACTCCCTGGTGCGCGGCATGGAGGGTGTCTAGGACACGGGACCTGAGAGCCTCGGGGATGACAGGTCGGCCGTGGAAGAGAAGGACGGGCCCCGACGTGCTGAGGTCGTGCCGGATGCGCCAAAGAGCGCGGAGTGGATGAGGGAAACCATCCGGACACGCAGGGAATGACGTGTTCGCCATTTGAACTGCCTGGCGGATGATGGGGTCTTGTTCCGACGCCCGAGACAGGGTGGGCCAGTCGATCGGTTGCAGTGCTGGCGACACCGAGCACAGAATGTCGGAGTCGTCTTCATCACCTGGATCCTGCGGGCGTGCCATTAGAGAGAATAGGTGATGGAAAGAGTAGCCCTCATCGACCACAAACAGCTCGTCGATCTGTGACTCGACAAAGCTGTCATCGGACCCCTCGCGCTGTTCCCTCACACCATACCTCGAGAGAGCGTCGGGGCCTCCATGGAGGCGACCCGGGACGTGGACCAGAGAGAAGGACCAGCCGAAGCTTTTCTCTTTTAGGCGTCTCAGCCTAGGATTGTCTATGCCGTCCAGGGAACGGTCGCCGAAAATACCCAGGAGAGGTTTGTGGTCGGTTCCCACCACCAGTTGGTCACAGCCGAGTGTAAAGTATTTAGTTTTTTCGAGGGCATTGGTGACGCTCAATGCCTCGCCCTCTGTTGGGGAATAGCGACTCTCGGCGCTAGAGGTGAACCGAGACCCGACGCCACACACACGCCACCCAGCGGGGCAGCAGGTCGGCTTGAGTTCGGTGCAGGTACAGTGTTTTTGAAGGAGGACGTACCCGAGTCCTGTTTTACACCAGTCCGTGAGGATGCACGTGGGCTTGGCGCGGTCAAACGACTGGATTCCCTTCTCCACCTCCCGAGCGATGACCTCTCTGGTGTTTCGGAACAGCTGGTCCAGAGTCTCGTCCCAGTACCAAGGACAGTCCTTCTTAAGGAGGGCGCGGAAGGGGAGGAGTTTAGGCTGGGTGGCATAGAAAGCCGACACTTGATTGACCAGAGCCATGAATGATCGAAGGTCGGTCACCGAGGTCGGCGTCGGAAACGACCGAATAGCCTCCGTGTGGGACGGCAACGGTCGGACGCCGTCAGGGCCCAGACGAAAGCCGGCCCAGTCCACGGTCTTTTCACAGAACACGAACTTGTCGCGGTTCTGGAGGATGCCGTTTCGGCCACAGAGCGTCAGATACTCCGCCGCATGTTGGAACATGCATCGAATCGTGGGCTGGTACAGGATGGAGTCGTCGATGACCCTGTCACAAGACTTCACATTCAGTGTGACCCGATCGAATCGGTGAGTGTAGGCATCTCCGGAGACCTTGTACCCTTGAGGGACGGTTTTGTAGCGGTACCTGCCCCATGGTGTCAGAAAGGTCGTGAGGTGGCGGTCCGATTCGCGAATGGCGACGGAGTGGTAGCCGTTGAAGGCATCTGTAGTGGTTTTCCACTGATCCGCGTGGCACGTAATGGCTTTTGACACAACAACAGGGAGAGTTGCCTCATAGCTGGATAAGCATTTCAAACATTCGAGTTTATTGTTCATTGAATGAGGCAACTCTCTGCAATAAACGAACAGACCATTATGTTGAGTGCACAGTAGGTACATACGGTCATGCTCAGGTACTTCTTAGCCTTCCTAATTACCTGTCTAGCCTTGGCCTTGGCCCGTTTATACTCGAGCAGTAACATGAATTGCCGTGAACGTCGAAAACGGTTAAGTGCCCGTTCTCGTTCCTGCATCGCCTCCTTACATTCGTCAGTCCACCAGGGACAGTTATATTTCCCTTTCCCCGATTTCTTGGGTATTGTTTCATGGGCTGCATTCATAATATTTTGTGTCATAAGCTCACAGTTCCGTGGTCCCTCCGCATCGTCAAAAACAATATCACACTTCTCACTAAATTCTGTCCAATTGGCTTTGGGCAGGTTCCACCTTATGTGAGTTTGCTCGTTTGACTCCCTCGCTCGAGCGCATTGGTAAGTAATGTAAATTGGACAGTGATCACTCGAATAAAGATCATCATCTGTTCGCCAATCCAAGTCAGGACCGAGCGAACTAGAACTGATGGTAATATCGATGTGGGACCACAGACCAGTGTATTCGTCTAGCCGTGTAGGGCAACCATTATTCACAACATTGAGGGCGTTATCCTGTATCACCTTCTCCCATATGTTACCTCGGGAGTCGCAACGATCTGCTCCCCAAAGGAAATGTCGGCTGTTTGCGTCTGCGCAAATCAAAAAAGGTTTGGGCAATTGTGATATGAGGGCGTTTAGGTCCTGGAAAGTCAATCGATCAGTCGGGGGTAAATACAGGGAGCAAACACATAAACGGCTGGCACCAGCACGAATCGAGCAAGCGACAGCCTGCAGTTCAGTATTCAGTTCTATCCGGAAATGAGGGCTGTTGTTAGACACATATACGCAAGCACCTCCTTGCCTGCGATCAGCAACGGAGTAACAATTATACAGAGTATAATTTTGTAAACTAAAGTCATAACGATCTGCAGGAAGAAAATGCGTTTCCTGCAAACATATGAGGTCATTATCACCGCACGCAAGCAGTGGCTTAATCTCGGCCCATTTTGAAATCAAACCACGGCAATTCCATTGCATGATCTTAAACATTTTGAACAACAATGAAGCTCCACTGAAACCGTTCCCAACCTAAAACGGAGGTTCGGCCAGTCCGGTGCAAAATAATATTCAGCTCGGGACACACCATGAAATCCGGAACAAAAGGGAAAATACGCGTAACATACGGTTTCCACTCCATAGGAGTGAAAACGGACAGCTGGTCCATCCTAAACGATCCAGTACGGACGCACTTGTTTACCAGACGTCTAGACAAGGCGCCCCAGGCGGCCCGCCCGGTCCAGCTCCGGTAACCAATCCCCGCGCAGCGACCCGTCCGGCGGGTCACCGCACACCGCCGGAGGCTAAACACGTGACCGGGGCGGCGAAGGTCACCGCCACGTGTCCTCGGTAGAAAAACAAACCGGCCACCGCTCGTCCCTTGCCAATGGAAAATTGAAATCGGTGCTTGGGGGTATGCATTAAATACAATTGAAGAGCATTGATGAACAGAATGATGAACAATGAATGATTTATCTATACTGAACAGAACCTTGTAGAGTACAAAAACTAACAGAGCATGATGAAGCATGCAACAAATAATAGTAGACACAGATATAATTTTGAGCAACTTGAAAGTGCTACAAACTGCCATAGCAGTTAGAATGTTGAGCTCTACTAAAGATGAGGTTACTAGGCTGGCTTTTCCCAGCACTTCTTAAGGGCTGGGCCAGTAGGTGGGGTCGATTGAGGTGTTTGGTTTACTTTACGACCTTTGGAAGATCCTCGAGACCTGCTCTTCCTGTTGATGGGCTGGGAGGCACACTCGGGGTCATCGTCTGAAAAGATGGAACCAGGGGGCAAAGCCCCAGATTTTACCACTGCATTCATGTTCTTGGGCGGCACAATCTTCCCTCCCTGGTTAGAGACACCGGGCCCAGACCCAGCACCTCCAGCGTCACATGTCAATGGGTCACTGTCTTTGTCCGGGGCAGGCAGAGCCTCCATGTCCTCTCCATCATTGTCTGTGTTGTCTGGCTCTGGGGCAGCTGATCTGTCCCCCAGGACAGGAGGCACCGGTTCGGGCTCCCGCCGGGGAGCCATCCGGCTGGCGATTCCTGTGAGAAATGTGGTCAGCTCATCAATTTTCTTCTCGAGTTTGTATACCCTTTCCTTGAGGTCACCGTCTGTGGGCCCGTCACTGGGAAGTGGGGCACGGCTCACCTCTGCATATGAACGGAGGACTGGGGGTCGACTGGAGACCTCGTATTGACGTCTGGCCTCTGCATAGGAAATCTCCTGGGTTACCTTCATCCTACAAATCTCCTTTTCCCTCTGCCAGAAAGGGCAGTCACGAGAGCGACAGGTGTGCTCCCCGCTGCCACAGCTCAGACATCGGACCTCACAGTCCCCCTCATGGTGGCGTTCCCCACACTGGAGACACCGTTGAGGGTTTCTGCATCTCGCTGCTGGATGGCCGAACTGGCCACACTGGTAACACATCAGTGGGTTTGGGATGTGGACCTTCACATGGTAGGTAGCATAGTCAAGCTGTAATTTGTCCGGACAGGTTGGCATGTTGAACGTTAGTAGGAGGGTGGGAGTCTGTTCAGTCCTGCCATCCACACGCCTTGTGAACCTCTTGGCCCCAACAACCCCGAAGACACCGGCCACTTAACCACATCATCCTCAGACAGATCCTGGAGGTCATAGGCATGGATAGTGCCTCGACTCGTGTTGAGTCTGGCCTCTCGTGTCACCTCACAGTCCTCACCCAGCAGTGACGTTACAGATAACAGTTTCTCAGTCTGTTGAACATGTTTGGTCTTAGCCAGCAGGCTACCATCTCTTAGAAAGCTGGCTTTCTCAACCTTCTCACTACCAAGAATTGTTCGAAGTGCAGACTGAACCCATGGCCAGCCTTTGGAACGAAGAGGGTTGCCACTTTTCAGGCTAAGTTTGACATATGACCCTAAACTACCTTGCCGTCTCAGAAATTCCTCAGTTATGTCTTCCCCCCGCGGACGCTTAACCCTAGTCCCCGACATGTTGCACCCTGTGCCTCACGGCATTAGTCCCACACATCGGGAAAAAAAGGCCAACGCCCTTCTCACCCCCTTACCGTATGTAACCACAAAAACCAAAGACAACCAACACAAAGAAAGCAAAATCCCGAGAAAAACAAGTGCAAATCTTCCAACAGTCCAAAGCAAGATTCTTGTCCAGATCCCAAGATCTCAAACCGATCGGACCTTCAACGGCGAGAACCACGGCGAGAACCTATCCCGATCACGGCTCGAACGCGAATATGCCACACCACAACCACAACACAAAAAAATCTTGTTTTGTCTATGTTGCGCTGTTTTTGTTTGGGACTATTGCTACCATTTCCCAGGATATGGTAGCATAAAGTTTAGTTTTTTTTTTGCAAAGTGTTTCTAGATTTGATGTTTTATATATTGTTTTTTTATTTAGCCAGTTAGCTATTAATCATTCTATCATTTAAACTATGTAATTTGAAGGATTTTGTTAAAAGTGCCCTGTATTATTGCACATAAAGGTAAAAATACCTCGAAAAATATATTTTTCTGATGTTCTTTCCCAACGCTGTAAACGTCCTTTTGGTTGCAATCATGGCGACTCTCGACCATCAGGTAAACGATCTTCATTTAAACTAATGTTTTGGTTAAGTTATCCATTACAACCGTAAATGATATTTTTCTCGGAATTCGCAAATTATGGGTCGCTGAATCTTAGCTGTTCGGCCCAATTCAGATGATGCTATAATCCGTTTTCAGCGTTATCGGTTGAACTCTGCCTACATTTTCGTATTTTATGTGGAGTACCTATATTTTAGAATGCAATTGATGTTACTTATATCCTGGATTGCGCCTAATTTCATTTGAATAGTTTTTAAGTCCCTAGTAGGCTGCAAAGTATGGTAGTTTTTGAAATTTCTGGCATGCACTGGCACTGGGCCTCCTTGGTCGCCACACAAAGGCATACATTTGCGAATATCGGGTGCAGGGCCTGGCCTAGGTGCTTAAGCATGAATTTATAACTTATGTTGTGTATGATGAGAGCTAATGTTAATGTCTTTAACTTTTAATTCGGCAGTCACTGGGGTACATTGCCACCTACCATTAGCTGTGTGAGGGTGTTATACACTTCTAGCCAATAGCTCGAGAGCCAATAGGCACATCAAAATGCACAAGGCGGCAAGTGAAAGAACTGGAAGAGACACTTCAAATGAGCGCTTGAAAGCTGAATTCTGAAGTCACAGGCTGGTTCAAGGTTATACGAATTATGAAACATCTGAAATGGTCCATTACTTTTAGCAACATGGACTTAAGAACTCTACTGGGCATCTTATCATAAATCTTTTAGAGGCTGTACTTTCTTCCATAGAGGTGCTAAAGGAGTGGATCCATGTAGGGGTCAGTTGAGGATAGGTCAGATTAATCAGGTAAAAACATAACTATCCATGAAAATCAAAGCTGCTGGTATTCACAGCATATGACATACCTATTTCATGGGTAGGCACTAGATACTTTAAGGCATATGACTAAATGGTGAGAATGATTTAGCATAATGGTACTTGTTTGGTAAAAAAAAGATTGATTAAAGGGACCCTCCCACCTTAACATTAGATTTGAGTTGAGATAGCCAAAATGGGGTCCCTGGCTCACAATTACCGGTTTCGGCACTCAACATCAATAAATGCCTTAAATCGGAAATATTGAATTTCAAAATTGCAGCATTTTGATTCAGAGGGGCTAATGCTTAGGAATACCCCTCTGAATGTGTGACGTCAGCGCAGATATCTAACGATTTTTAAATGTTTGACAAACGTTTTGTAGCATGCGGTGGTATATGCAATTTGCGCGCAACATCTGCCGCAAACGCCGCACTTCTAAAATAAAGTCGCTAGAAACAGCGGAGATCCCAAAAAAGTAAACAAAAGTAAAAGTATAATATCTTGAAAACCGGTGAATATTTTTCGGTGAAATTTGGTAGATATTCATTTTCGCTCTTTCTGAACCGAGCGACATCACTTTCATGCCAATTCATAACCTTTTTTGAAGGTGGGAGGGTCCCTTTAAAGAAATTAATTCATCATTGTGTCATGAAGACAGTAGCCACAAGAAATTGCATAAGTTGAGTTCAGTTGATTTTGATTTTGGAAAAGGTAGGATGATAAAACATAAAAGATAGCCAATTAATTATGCATAATATTGGCAGTCTAATGGAGGTGTGCATCCCTACTAGCTAGGCATGCACTCACATCAAACTGGGTGTACATCTGGCTTGCAGGTACTATGCTTTGCAGTCTAGCATACAATGCAATAAAATTCACTGCCTAATAAATTAGTAGGTAGCAAGGCCTTACCACCAGTTGCTAGACTCTGAACCAGTCCCCTTTGATAATTGGAGTTTTTATTTTGAACATCTCATTCAAGAATAGGCTGTTTCATAATGAGTAGAAATAAGTTTATGTAGTGACTCATGATTGCCATAGCAAAAGTTTACTTGCCTGTTTTCTTCCTACAGACTGAGAGGGCTTTCCAGCACCAGCCCACTATTAACCTGAACAAGAAGGGACAGAAGGGTGGAAAAGCCCTCAGATACCACAGAAATGTTGGTCTTGGTTTCAAGACTCCTCGTGAGGTAAGATTCATTTAGTGTTGTTTAAATGAATTTAGCGAGCTGCTTACGTGAATATGATATGAGAACCAGAAGTATTTTGCTGGTTGTATTATATCCACATTTTGTTATGATGTTTGAGCTTTTTACAGACACTTTCCTTTGTAACATTGTTTTGTGCTGATTTGTGGCTTACATCTGCTCCAGCCTCCAAGACACTAACATTGGTCGTTTTTGTGCTGTACAGGCCATCTCTGGCATGTACATTGACAAGAAGTGCCCGTTCACGGGTAACGTGTCGATCCGCGGCCGAATCCTGACTGGCGTCGTGCAGAAGATGAAAATGCAGCGCACCATCGTCATCCGCCGCGAGTACCTGCACTACATCCGCAAGTACAACCGCTTCGAGAAGCGCCACAAGAACATGAGCGTCCACATGTCTCCCTGCTTCCGGTGAGTGACAGGATTAGTATTTTACGGGTCCGCGTGGAGTGGTCCTCGCCGTATTTGCCTATCACGACAAATACTACTTTGATTGCTTTTCAAACCATTCATGTTCTTACATCGTTCATGACCCTACATCGCTTGGTGAGTGCCCTGCCTGCCGACTGTCCAAGTTTCAGCGCAATCGGCCCAGAAACGGCTGAGTTATATGCAAGTACCATTTTCAAGGGTTTGGTGATATCCCTAAGCGGGCGGTTCCTTGCAGCCTATGTCATGCTCGCCATGCTGAATGATAGTTAAATGTTTAATGACATGCCGGCTATACGGCCCCCGGTCAACAGACATGGTAGCCCAAATCTAGTCGGATATGAAAATTCTTCTAAATCCATAGACTTTAATGCTAAATTGACTATATTTGAGAGGGTTTTATGAAGATACATGACCATATACAGAAAAAAGCGAGATGCTATCTTGTAGAATAAATCGTCTACTATCTGCGACTTTTGAAGTGTTTTTCAATCTGAGGTACGGAAATCGTGTTCCCAAGAGACTGAAAGTAGCCATGCTTTACATTAGACCCAATGGCAAAAATTCGGAATATGACGAAATTGGCCATTTTTACGTTTGATTTATGAAAATTCTAGACAGGATATATAAAAACCCGAGATGCTATCAGGTGGGAAATTTCATTGTCTATTACCGCTTTTTGAAGTGTTTTTCGATCTGAGACCGGCAAATCGTGTTCCCATGAGACTGAAAGTAACCCTGTTCTACAGCAAGACAATGGCAGAATTTTAATATTTCATGGAAGATATCTTAGGTGATAAAAACCTTACTACTAATTGCAATGCTTCATTGGAAAGCTCAACACTGGCACTGTCATCGGTCTTTGCATTGCTATTTCACAGAACAACGAGAAATAACGTTTTGAAGCCTTTGAATATTGACTTACTTTTCATCGACGGGCTCGATCCCCATCACCACCAACAATTTTCCGGGAAGTCAGGATTTTGCAGATATTTAAGCCGAATTGCAGAGCTGTGTTAATACTACGGCACTTAAATACACATTTTAAGAAAACTGCTTTTTTAGCATGAGTTAGGTCTCAGAAACAGCAATATGTCAATATAATGCGGAAAAATAAGTGCAAATGATCGCGCAAGAGAGTATCCTTAGCTCCCTAGCAACCACCTAGCAACGTAAGGCAAAATAGTAAACAACTCCTGTTGATATCAGGTACTCAGCCTTGGAAGCACACTAGACGGTCAATATACTGGGCTTCATACTGAATTTTGCATACCAGAATGGATGTTTCCAACTAAAATTATTTTTTCGCGAAATTTATATTTGGTGCATTACTATTTTTCGTAAAACCGAGATATACAAACTTCATGATATCAAAAATAATATTGTGATAATGAAAACCGCCATATAAAACAAGATAATTGCTGAGATCATGCCTACTAAACTTGGTCCTACCCCCTAATTCAATATACCCTGCCGGCTATAAGCCATCGATCGGATTTCATCGGAAAATATGTCTAACGTTAGGAAAACACGGTGGGATGCCTGAGTCATGGTTACGGAAGTTTATTGACATTTTGATAATATTTTGGGTGGATTTTGATGAGAAAAGTATGCGCTATCCGAAAATGTGCGTTTCATGGCCAATTTTCAACGTTTTCAATACGTAATCGTGTTGTAAAGGACAGCGCACTCGGCGAGCATCAAATTTTCAAATAAATTTTTCATTTTTAAGGAAGTGATAGTAACAATCACATTTTCTTTTCATTCATTGCCTCACACGTGCAATTATCTAAAAAATGGTACCACACCGATTTCATTCGGTCAAACCGTTCTCTAGCGACAACGATTTTTTCTCCACGAGGCACGAAATCGGTCATTTTTTCACAACAATTGGTCCTGATGTGCACGTGACGCGCCCAGCGTTAAAAACCATATCAGTACGTTAACTTTATCTCTCCTCTATCGATCGGTGGCAACCGCGTGTCGCAAGAGGCGGTTGCAAGAGGCTAGGTTTTCTTCATTAGATAAAGTTAAGCTATATATGTGCATGCTGTCTGACGAGACTCGCCAGTGCAGATAAATCGTCATCTGCATTGCGTTAACCTGTCGAGACTCCTAATGTTCTTCTCTGTGCTGGAGTTTGT